CCATTACAACACCAGTGTGGAGCCCTGATGGCACCACAGCTGCAGGATGAAGGGATCCAAGGCTACCTATTGTACATAACCGTATTGCTCCCATAACCGTAGCAAGGCAGTGCTACCTCCCCCCTTCTACAGAAACAGATACATGGACAGAATAAGGCACAGATCTACAAAGGCACTCAGGCTCCTAATTCCACTGAGCTCAGCAGGAGAAAAGCATCTTGATCCCTCCGGGAGTGGGCACGCTTGGCAGACATGGTAGCCATGCCACTAAGTGACTTGCCGAGGGATCATGAAGGAAGCCTGTAGCAGAGCAGGGCACCGAACCTAGAGCTACAGCCTGGGCTTCTACCCTAGCACTGCATCCTCCTTCCTCTCTATCACACCTGCCCTCAGTTAGACATACAAGCAAGCTCACTCACAAACCTAATTGCCACCCCTTTCCTACTGGGGCCATCAACAAGGTTATGCAGCTCCTGCACCTACATTAGGAGGAGGAAAATGGGGCCCTGGGTTTCTCTTGCAAGCATAATTTGGCTCAGCCCATAAATCACTGCCCACACCCCGAGCACAGGCTTCATTCTTCATGCCACGTCTCTATTGCATTAGAGGCCTGTGCAGAGCAGGCAGGGAGAGGTGCTAAATGGGAGATGCACATTACATTGGTGGTTGATTGGATTCTGCAGACCCAGCTTCCGCCATTGGGAGCAATTTGGGTCTTGCCTCCAGGACCACAAGAAAGGCAAGAGTGCTTAGCACCGGGGGTCTGACAGGCAGGTGCGGATGCCGCGGCCGCTTCATTTGCCACTTCCTTCTGATCTGCAAGCCTGCTCCGATTGCACAGTGGGGGTTGGGGTATGTGTGACCCCCCCCGCCTGGCTCCTGTACACTGCTCCAGCTGTAACAGATAACAGATACTGGCCAACCTAGCACCAGGCTGGGGAGCACAGCCGGGGTACCCCACCGCCTGGCTCTTGCAGGTACTTCTAGCGCCATGTAAAGCATGTGAAAATTATAGCGCCCCCCCCCAGGCTGATCCAACTTGTGCTACAGATTTCTCTGGTGCCTACAGCATAGATAGGTATGTAGCCGTGTTTGTCTGAAGCCAAGCAGAAGGTGGAGTAGAGATGCACCTGAGAGACTAACTAAATACAATCGCAGCCGGCTTTGCTTTCAAGCACTGGTCGGACTGAATTTCGTACTTGAGCAACCTGAAATAACTCTGTTTCCCGGACAGGAACCTGAAGACTGTCCCAGAGGGCTCACGTACCTTAACAAATCCAAACAGGGCTATTTTTTCCTCCATCATTTTAACACGAGGCGGGAAGAGATGCCCAGCATGGACGTTTTTCCCTCCGATGCATTAAATTCTTCACTTCTTATCGCCAAGGTGCGCACAAGCTGGATGGTGGTTCACATGGGCTATGTAAAGGCCCCTTTTTTGTGCAGCATCCTCACAAGTGTTGGACTGATGGACAAATTATTGGTTGCCCGGTTTGAGAGCCTGGGCTGCATCCCTTGGTTTGTTCTTGTAGGGTTGGTTTGGTGTCAGAGGGTCACTCTTGAGGTCAGCATCGCACATCTATACCCGACCAGCTACTCTCGGCATCGTTTTCCCACGCTAGGTGTGGGTCTGCTACTACCCTCGTGCTCACAGGCCTGCGTCCTTTAGAGGAAGCCATAGAGGCTTGAGCGTTTAAGTGCTGAGATGCAAGGTGGCTGGTCCGGGAGTGGTGGAGAGTCCCAAAATACTGATCGGCCAAGAGATCGTTATCTCAGAGGACTGGGCAGAAATACTGCAATTTGATTATGAACTGTATAAAACGCCTCTGTGCAAAGGAGTGGTCCAAGGTGGGGGAGTCTGGAGCTTGCCTTGACTATGAGGATGGATCTGGAGGACCCCAAGACCTCACCACCTGGTCCGGAGGATATCTGTGTATTCCCTGCTGTTGTCGTTACTACTGATAACGCTGTCTGATTGCCCAGTAAACCAGTGAATAGTTCAGAAGGACTTGCTTTGGCTTGTCTTGTACTTCTCCGGGTATAAGAAAGCACCCCCAGAGTCATCCTGGGTGTAAAAGGAGCATCACTTTGCAGGTGAGCTGAGGGGCCTGGGGTTGTTCGCAAGGGCTTTGACATGTGACACAACTAACCACAGGGCCATCGCTGTCTTCCCACGCTGAACAAGGGACTTGAGTTGAAGAAGGAAATAAAAGTCTTCCCCTGAAGCGGTGTTGGAGAACGGTGTGTGGTGCTTGAGAGCTCATCCGACAGCCCTCTAAGCTACGCAGCTGGTCCAGTAAAAGATAGCAGAAGAAATCCTTGTTTCTATGAAGTTGTTTTGTCATTTTTCATCTCTGAAAGGCTATGGCTGAGGGCTTCCCAAGGCCCTGCCTTGCCCTGGTCCTTCTCCCCTCCCTTCCCAACACCAGCCTGACTTTCAGCTACTGATTCAACGTAGTAAAACCCATATTCTCAGGCTGGGTTGCTTCATCTATCTTTGCCATTTGGGATGCGCGTTCAGGGATGCTATTGGCAAAGCAAGTGGTAGGACTTAAGTAGCCATATTGGTCTAGAGAAAAAAGCTCTCAGGACTCGTGGGAGAGGTGATACTTTTATTAGACCAACTAGATTTTCCAGCTCCTCTACTTCTATGCCATTGTGGGGCCAATTCTTACTGTAATAAGATGGTGCCACTCACCGCAATAGGGCAAGGACTGCACTCTTGCAGATTGCAATTCTGCTTGCTGCAAAACAACCGCTGATTGCTATTTGTACTTTAACCGAGAGGGGTGCATCAAGCCTGTCGGGAAATACAACACTGGGCTCAATGGCGTGCAAACAACTACTTCTTCGAATCATGTCTCCTTGAGTTTGCAGGTGCTCAGGGCTAGGAACCAGCTTCCATGCAAGGCGAGCCAGAAAAGGTTGGGCCTCTTCAGCTTGGAGAAGAGCCCACTTGAAGACAGGGTCTGGGAGAGATCTAAGGCAGAGAAATCAGGGAGAGGGAGCTGGGGTTTTGTTTTTTTTTCCTATGGCTCATTACACTAGCGATCGAAGCCACCCCAGGAAGTTATCAGGCAGCAGGATTACAATAACTATAAAGGAAGTGGGTTTTCATACAGTGTATAATTAAGATGTGGAACTCACTGCCACAAGATGTGGTAAAAGCTGATTGTATAACCAGGTCGCAGAAGGAATTGGGCAAATAGGTGCATCCCCAGCTATTCATCACAGCAGGTAGGAACGTCACCTGCAGCTGGCAAGCGGTAGGATGCACCTCTGGAAACTGCAGCCATTAACCATCACCAAACTACTGCACCCTCAGGGATCCCCGTGGGCCAGATTCAGCCCAGGGGCCAAAGATTGAGCTTTGGTCTGAGCGAGTACAATAGCTCTTACGTTCTTCAGTTCTTTCCAGTACATTGGTCATCTGTATCATCCCAAGAGGATGGAAGTATCTTATCTAGGAAGGCTCAGAAATCTCAGCCCTGGGAGAAAGCATCCTGCACTTAGCAAACCGAAGCACCGAGCGCGATGGTTACTCACTTCAACATAAAGAGCCTGCCCCATGGAACAAGCAACTTCAGCCCTGATCTGACAAATAATGACGTACCTACTTAAAATCATGCTTACGCACTAGTTTGCCCCGGTGCAAATTCCAGCAGCTGGAGCGGGCAGACAATCTGCTCTCCCTTGGTAGGTGCCTACAAGAGGCTCTATCCCACTGCCTCATCACTGGGTCTATATATCCCAATGAAAGGACTATCCTGGGCTAAAACTGAAAAAAAGGTGTAAACACATGACATAGACACAGGGGTCACTCACACCGGCATATAGCAACTCCTGAATAGCTCGGGGACAACTTGACTCCTGAATAGAGTGACTTAGGGTGGCGTAGAGCAGTGGGTTGTTGGTCCACTCCACATTTACATCAGTGTAAAGATGTCCAGTATCTGTCCCCTAAGACCGGGGTCTTCCTTATCTTCTGATCCTTCCTTCATAAAAGGCCGAATTCATCCCTGACTTGCACCATGTATTCTTATTTACTGAGTGCACTGGACAATGCTTGCCATCCAAACTAGCATGCACTTTGCATCCGGGCATACCCAGTGATGCAAGGTGCACAGTAATGATGAATGAGCCCCACTGAAGCCATCTGCATGGTGCTGTGTCGTCATCCTGCTCCCAACAGTGATCCAAAGGACCTATGGAGCCTATTTTGCGAGATGCTGAGTGAGGCACGCAGCACTGGGGTGGACAGAGCCTCAGATTGGCAAGGAAAAACCCAGGAGCTTTGAGCTGCCTTAGATCAGATGCCTGAAGCTGTCACGGAAAGCATGTGATGTTAAGTATATTTGGATTGGTACCTTCTGGAGCAAATCCCAATGCAGACAGCTATATTAATCACAGGGGGATATGATTTTATTTGAAATTTTCCATGCACCTCTGAAATTACCCTATTTCATCAATCACAGGTTTGCGCGAGACATCTGTAAACGCTGATTTATTGCACTGTTTAAGGCTCTGAATTAAATAGCATTATGGCCAAATATATTGGCTTAATTGACAGGCGGGAATTTAATCAAGTTAATTTTGTAGCCGATTCCACAGCTTCTGTTAACTCCTTGCTGATTTTAAGGAGGGCTCCAGGCCCTTTCTTAATAGCCAGGCCCCAATCCTGGCAGGTGGGTCCTGGCATCCCCAGAGAGCCCCACGGGAACCTTGTAGGACCTGGGATTAGCTGTTCCTTCCCTCCTCCCCAAGACAGCCTGCAAAACGAGTGAAGATCCCACCAAGTAAATCTAAAAAAATCCAATCTATCTCATGTGCGTTCATCGTTCCCCCATATACTAGCAGGGTTTAAGCACCAGAGCCTCATGCCCACAGCACTGCCAAAGAAATAACACGCCTGGCTGGCAACAATAGTGGGCTGTTATCCACTGCTGGACAAGCCCCGTTAGGGGAATGCAACGCAGGCTTCACTGGGGTGCTATGGGCAATCCCTGCAACTAATTTGTATTGCGCTGGAGGGGAAGACCACGAGAGGCATGTCCCATTGCTCTTTTCTGGGCTGCTAGCAGCATATACCTTGGGGAATCGCAGCACCAAGTGCCTGCCGCAAGGGCTGGGGGAGCAATACCTGGGACTGGGGAGCTTCAAATGGGGCCCAAGAGGGAGCAAACATCCTCTGCAGAGGCTTAGCTAACCTACCCGGGGCATTACTGCAGCTTCCCCCCGGATTCCCTGCCCAGTGCCTCCCCCAGCTCCTTTGCACACCCCTTGCCCACCGATGCTGCTAGCCAAGGGGAGGTGGAGATATGGGCCAGCTTTGCTGCTGGACAACAGCCCTGCTGAGCTGATAGTCCAGGGCTGGGTGTCCTGGGGTGAGTGCAAAAACCAAACAGATCAAAGCAGCCACAGCCTTGCCCAGACCTCAGCAGCGACCCAGCAGCGCCCCTCACCCTCCCCAACCAGAGCTCCTGGGCTTTCGTTCTTCAGCGACATTTAAATGCCGTTTGTGCAGACCCAAATCAACTGGGGGACACTGAAAACCATAGCTAAAGAAGAAGATGAGCCCCGGTGTTATGCTGGGCCTTCCAGATGACTCTGTGCGGTATTGAGAAAAGGCAGCAAGAAGTCAAGCCAAGCCCCAAGGGCGCAGCACCACCAATGTCTCATTCACATGGAGGTGGATTTATCCTAAGGACTGGAGCTATGGATAAGACACACGTGGGGTAGGCTCCCCTGTGTCTGCCTAGTGCAGGGGCCAGTATCTGATCCTAGCTGTTGGAAGGTCACTAAGTTAGATGGCTCTGAAGTTGGCTTTTCCTATGGACCTCTTCCATTTCCAGTCGAACCCTACACAACAGGAGACGTCTGAGCCTATCTCCCCCTAGTCGCTCCTGCTGGCCACTATCTCGGCCAGCTTTTCACCCTCTTTTGTTCGAGCCATAGAGGCCCAAGGCTTTGACACTAGGGGCACCAGGTTGGCTCATTAGGGGTGACCTTGGGGTGCGTCTGCAGCCCCAGCCTATTTCACCAACAGTTGCGGCAACCTGAAAAAGGCATTTCCCTCTCTGCATGCCTCCGCCACGTGCAATGCATGAGCCCTTCGCTATCCTGCTTCTGATGGGGTTGGAAACCGCACACTATACACACACCTTCATGCACGGCCACGGTCCTGTACTGCGCCAGCAGGGCTGCTACAGTGAGTAGCTCAGCGTATGACAATCTCATCTTCCTGAGGTTTCCTCTTCAGCAATCACCGTGATCGCGCAGTCCAAAACAATGTTGATCTGCAAGAGAGAAGCAGGGGTTGAGGCAAATTAAAGTTCGTGAGAGTGCAAAATCCTCACAGCCATAAGAGGCACAGCAAAGGCAATGAAAGCTTCTGGTACTCAGCCCAGCCACTGGGCCTCCGTTTTAACCCAGCAAGGCCACCATGGCAAGCCAACGTCTATGGCGTCTTCATTCTTGGGATCTGGACACTGGTTCCCCCAGCAGAAGGCAAACAGACCCCTTTCATGTCCAAAGGGATATGTTGGCATCACAAAGGAAAGAGGTGCTAAGAATGGAAACGCTTAGGCAACCCTAAGGAGAGCCATTGCTGTAATAGGAAGGAAGGATCGCTGCAGTTTGACCAGGTAGACACTGCAGTGACATTGCTGCTCACAGCAACTCACTCAGCTTCTTCTTAGTCTCATTTACAACCAACCTTTGGGGCCCCTAAATCTTGCTGCCGGAGAACTGCTTAAATAAGCCACTTTGAGGGCGGTCTGAGCGCTGCGGAGAAGCAGGCCAGGGAAACACGGGCCACAGTCCACAGGCAGTTTGCAGAATCCCATAACATATGCTGATTGCTTGTTAGGACTGCAGCATCTTCCCTCTCAGTAGCAATAACTGCAACATAGACAGCATTGCCAGAAGGGATGTATTCTTTTTAACGGGCTATAAGACAGGCCTCTCCTATTGCAAGCATCACCTGGTTGTGCCGTGCTGAGCAGGCTTCAGCAGCAGCTATGGACCAGCGCCACGGTGGGAATTATAGCCACTCAAGAAAAGGAAGATCGGTTACTTCATCCAGCCTAGCTCTCAGCCAGGACAGGATTGTTCCCTACAGCAAATAAATATGCCATCCCAGGGACACATTAATGCTTAATAAAGCTGCTGATTCCTGCAGCTTCAGTCTAAAATGATTCGAGATGAAGGAAACCAGGAAAACAAGAAAGGACAATGGTCGAGTCTCCACGTGATGGCAGTGGGGACGTGCCGACTGCAATAGCCACTTCTGGCGTCAGGTGCAGGACACATGAAAGCAGATCAGCCTCAGTGTATTACTACAGGCGTGACTGGAAAGTTTGCAAAAACCAGACAACTCAGCTGCTGCTTAATTGCTTTGCTGCTTCTCTCTCATTGCTCTTAATTGCTCAGAACATTAGGTTTTTGTTGCCTAGCAGTTAACCTGCTCCTGCCCTATAAGCCTTACCTATCAAAATCTGCTTGCAAGGTGCCTGTTGCTATAGAGATTGTTTGGATGTACACAACAAAATCCCCCAGAGGTATCTTATAAATACAAATACAGGAAAGTCAGTCTGTACAGGTGGGGCTCAGGGAATCCAGGGGCCCTTCACAGCTCTGACATGTCCCTCAGGCACCTCTGTGCCTCAGTTCCCCTTCTGTAATTGGGCATGAAGAGGACTGAGCCTGACCAGTTTCAACCACCAGCTTTTTTAGGTTGGAACTTGTACACCCTGGGCATGTCTACACGTGCTTTTACATGAACCTAAACTTAATGCATATTTGCCTAATGCGCATTAAGGAGATTTAGGCACGCATCTACACATGCACGCGCTAAGGCGCATTAACGTGGTGTGTGGACTGACTTGGGACTAAAGTTAGCCCCAAGTCCGTTGACATACACAACGCTAACGTGCCTCAGTGCGTCTACATGTGTGTTAAGGCACTTTAGCTATTCATGCACAAATAGCCTAAAATCACCATTTTTAAGGTGCATTAAGGGTGCACACAGGTAGACCCGCACCCTTAATGCACCTTAAAAATGGCTGATGTGTCTTAAATCAGCATGTGTAGACGCACCCCCTGTGTCTGCACAGCACTTAGCGTGATGGAGCCCACAACTTGGCCCAACCTTCCAAGTGCTGCTCATCATTTATGCCCCTCTAGATGAGCAGTGCTCAACCTTTCGGCCATGCGGGCCATAGGAATAGCATGGGGCCCATCTGCATTCTGGATCAAGCCCTGGGCTATGCCCCATGCACCAGGACTGAATGCAGGAGACCTGCCACCACCCCCTTCTGCCCCCCTGTGTGCCCAGATTGGGTTGGGAGGGGGCTAGTACTGGCCCCCTCCCTCGCCTCTCATGCTAAGATTGGGTCCTGGGGGGTCTGGTACCACCCCTTGCACACAGGATTGGGTCCTGGAGGCCCAGGACTACCCTCCTGCACTCCCGACTGGTGGGATTGGATCCTGGGCACAGCAGCACCTCTACCCATCCCTGAGCATGGGGATCAGGCGGTGGATCCAGCGTGCAGGGCTCAGGCTCCGAACAGGTCCCAAGATTTGGCAGCAAGGAGGTGGTGACACCACTCCCCTGGACCTGTGGGGAGCCCTGCAGTCTAGATGATACAGAGCCACAGCCCAGATATGGCCTGTGGGCAGCGGTTAAGCACCCCTGCTGCAGACAATATACAACATGCAGGAATTGTCCCTGAAAAACCTGGGTATTTTTGAGAAGGCAGCACTATCTTGTCCTCCCCCGCTGCTCCACACACATTACTTTTGTCCAAAAGTATTGTTCTGCTGAAGACAGAGGGAGGCTGGAGGGGCCTCAGCTGTTAACCAGGACAATCAGGATCAGGGGGACACTACTGTAGTTGGTTCTGTGGTGTAATGGTTAGCACTCTGGACTTTGAATCCAGCAATCTGAGTTCAAATCTCAGTAGAACCAGCTTCATTTTAAGCAGCAGCTCTGCAGAAAAGGACCTGGGGGTGACAGTGGACAATAAGCTGGATATGAGCCAGCAGTGTGCCCTTGTTGCAAGAAGGCTAATGGCATCCTGGGCTGCATTGGTAGAAGCGTTGCCAGCAGATCCAAGGAAGTGATTATTCCCCTCTATTCAGCACTGGGGAGGCCACATCTGGAGTACTGTGTCCAGTTTTGGGCCCCCACTACAGAAAGGATGTGCACAAACTGGAGAGAGTCCAGCAGAAGAGAGCAAAAATGTTTCATGGGCTGGGGGACAGGACTGGTGAGGAGAGGCTGAGGGAACTGAGATTATTTAGTCTGGAGAAGAGAAGACCGAGGAGGATTGAATAGCAGCCTTCAGCTCCCTGCAGGGGGGCTCAAAAGAGGATGGAGCTGGACCGATCTCATTGGGGCAGATGACAGCGAGGTAAGTTTAGGTTGGATATCAAGAAAAGCTTTCTCACTAGGAAGGTGGTGAAGCACTGGAACAGGTCACCCAGAGAGGTGGTGGTATCTCCATCGTTGGAGGTTTTGAAGACCCAAGTAGACAAAGTCTTTAAGACTTTAAAACTGAGACACAACAACCGAGCAGAACGTTTTTGACCCTATGGATCCCTATTTGAAGTCTCTGGATCTATCTTGTGAATCAGGTTTGCACATTGAACAGGCTAACTGTGTGTGGCACCCTGCAGCATACCTGCGAAGATGTCAAGGCACCTCTGGGTGCACGGTAGCACCCTGGTTGAGAATCACTGCAATAGGGCAGTGATCCACAGAACTGTTTGGCATCACCAACCATGTCCACTTGCAATTCACAGAAACCAGTGGGCTACAATCTTTAAAACTTCTAGGGAGAGCTCTCCCCTAAAGCACCTGAGGGGTTTAGATGCACAGGGCAGAGTTTCTGCTAGTTCGGGTGATCTAATTCCATTCAAAGGGGCAGAGGTGCACATCTATGCCATTCAGTCCATTGCAATGGGCTGATCTCCTGCTGATCCAGTCTCCACCTTGCATTTATGCGCACCCTTCATACAGAACATTTAATGCAGAATGCCCACGTTGCCTTCCGGTAGTCATCCTCATGCAATTAAGTGAAAGAAAATGCATGCACATCTGGATGGTAGGCAGCAAAATTCATCTCCAACAGTCCTATCATTCAACTGGAAGTCAAAGAGCATAACCTTCATCTACTTATGAGGTATATGGCGGAAGTCGCTTGCAAAGACAGTGTTTCCCTTCCCACATTGTATTGTTCTTGTATTAAATGCACAATATAGTCCCACTCTTAAGCTTGACTGTGGCAAAGGTATCACTTGCAAGTGTTCCCAAAGATCCAACTTCATAGATGAACATCTCCTGAGAGGATTTTCAGACTCCCTCCTGTTACTGAACTGAACGTAGGAGTAGGACTCACAACCTCCTGAGCTGTCTTCTCAGCACTTCTGGAGATACACATCAGTGCCACGCCTCACTTCCCCCCTCCCTACTGAAGGTTGCCACTGGGGGTATTAGGAAGATTCATTAAAATAACCTCAGTAGCCAAAAAAGTCTGTGGTCCTCCAGCCATCACAATTAGAGGACATTCACTGCACAGAAGCAGGGGACAGGGCCAGCACCCCATCTGGCTGCCTTGGATTTGAGCCATCCAGCTCAATTGACCAGGTGCCCGTTTACAGGTGGGTTGACCAGATGGAGCCATTGGTGCAAGCCCAAAGCAGGACTTGAACTCACAGCTCTGGAGCTAAAGCCGTAAGCCCTCTGCCCCTGTGCAGTATGGTATAGTAACAACATAGCATGGTAACCCCGTGCAGCCCGGTATGTTATATTCCCCACTGCAGTCCTTGAAGTAGCCTTAAACAGGGCTGTCCTACCTCTGACCCCAACAGGGCCATGGGACCTACATCCCACCAGATACTCAACCCTTCCAAGGGGGCAAGCCCAGTGTGCTGAAAATCCTGGCTTCCTTCGTTATCTTTAGTTTTCAATTCTAAACAGGTTTTGTTTTTAAAGGAAACAAGAAACCTCCTTGTAATGTTTATATGAGGCTCTGCCAAAATGTGTCAAAGTCACTCAACAGCGAGGCTGCTACAGGGTGACAACCTCCTATGGCTTTCACTTTGTTAGCTTGTGGGATAGAGGCACTGTAGCTCTCAGACTGAACCCCTCTCCATGACCTCAGGGATGGAGAAGTTAAATCCCAGTGCTGTAGCATCCAAGTCCAAGCCCCAGGAAATCAAAATAACTGGGAAGACACCGCTCAGTCCTTATTAGCAAAGTTAAGGGAAGTGTAGAGTTATCTTTAGTTTCCTA